TGAGTGGCGTGTGACGTGTCTCTCTTGCAGCGATGTTCAGCTACGGACGGCGGCGGAAGTGTGGAGGCGGCAGTGAGGAGACTGTCAGTCTGTGAGAAGACCATGGTCGCTAGTGCCATCCTAGCGGTCTGTCGGCATATGGAGATGGTGAATGGACTACAGGGGGGGGGTGGGAGGGGAATGGGGAGGAGGGGGGCCGCCATAGCCCAGGCATTGGCAGACATCATCACCTTGTCTGGTCTGTCCGACGCTCCTTTCCTGATGGCGAATGCACGCTCTGCTCCACCCCACTCCCAACTCCGTAGCCCCCCCCACCCATCCCATACCCCTCTGCCCCCCTTCTGTATCCATTGCCCATGCCGGTGCTCACCGAAGCAGCCTGTCAAAGCTTCTTCGAACCCCTCCTCCTTCCACGTCGGCTGCAATTGCCGGCCAGTCGCCACACGTGCAGAATGATCACCAATGCCAACGCCCCAAGCAGGAAAATGAATAGAGCCGTCTTCCTCACCATGTCAGCCATGTGTTCATCCCGTGAAGTACAAGGAATGGAGCTGGCACCTATTGAACTGGACGAAGGGCACACGTGATGACCGACGGAGGAAGGGTGCGGAGACCGATGTACGCCGTCGACATCCCGCGCTCGAATTTGAACGCCCCTGCCAACGGTCATCTCACCCGCCTCCGCACTGGCCCGTGCGACGGGCACCTTCAAACGACAGCCAAAACGCCCCGGTGGAGGGAATGCAGGGGCGACCGCAATGGCACCGCACGACCGTTGGAGGTTGCTGTGGGCCTGCTGTCCCATAGTCTAGCTGACAAGACTGCCGTTGGACCAGGAATGGCAACCAAAAACCTGACCGAAAAAAAAAAAAAAAAAAAAAAAAAAAAAAAAAAAAACGGTTTCTTCACGGATGTAAGGGTGCCACCCCCTACGTTCAAGTCACCTCCATGGGCGTCCTTACGTTAAGGTCCGTTTTGGCTGGGCGGTCCTTACTTTTGTAGTGCCCGCCCTTACGGCCGGGAATGTGAAAACAAGTTGGACTTCTTTTTCTTCGTCATTAGGGAGAGATCGATTTTGAGGTGGGGGGCAGAGGAGCTAGTGAATAGTAGTAGACATCTGGTGCCGTAAAAGGTGAAGAGGCTCCCCAGGCCCCTGTCTAGGCTGCTCAGTTAATCCCCTGGTGACAGGGCAATCAATGCTGGCAGTCCTCACTGCCACAGTTCTTATTGCTTTCAGACATTCTCATTTTCTGTATATGGGACGCTGGACCCATTTTCCAGCAGGTGCTGCTCCCCGACAATAGATGGAGCCTCCATGTGGGTGTTAGTGGTGTCTGCTCTTATCAGCAGCACTAACACTGGCGAGGGAATTTAAAAAAAAAAAAAAAAAAAAAAAAAGGGAGGGGTGGAACAATGAAAACCTTACATGTAAGGGTTTTGTAGTGGCAAAGTTTTTGGCGCGCTAACGGGACCGGTACGGCGAGGCCCGACCGCACTCCCGGTGACTTGCTCGACAGAATCGAGGGAGGCGAGGGAAGCGACCACCATAGTGAGCGAGCAACGTGGTTGATATCCCTCGAATGCGCCTTAATGAAAGCAACCTGTGACAGACTAGGAAGGGAGCACACGACATGAAGATACAACGGCCAGGAAAAGGAAGAACTGGCAAGGCGAACCGGGCGACGAAAGGCCGCGTGAGACAGAGACCGAGTGGATGAGAGGGCAGGCGGAAAAAGTGATGAACGGAGGTGTGAATGGTGGATACGAACAAGACAGGTGGTGAGCACAAAAGAGGTGGAAGGACACGGAGGAGGAAGGAGACGGCTACCGGTAGTAGAAGCTGGGGCCGAACGGGAATGAGTGGGGGGGTCGGTCAAACCCGGGGAGGAACTGTGTCTTGAGGATAGAAGAGATTCAAAAAAAGGATTCCAATATTACTCGTGTCCACGTTGAAGGAGTGAAGAACGGCGGAGGAAATAGTGATTACGAATAGACGGGAGGTAAGCACAAGTGAGGTGAAAAGTGAAGGAGAGTGGAGGGGGAAAAGGCGGATACGAGCGCCGTGTATGACCGACGGTGGGTTACGATGACATCAAGGGGGGAGGGGTGACAAATGACACGTGCGGAAAGCAGGGAGCAACAACAGGCAAACCCCTCAAGGCAGACAATCGGACCATTTGCAACAAGGCCATTACAAAGGAGCGAGCGTGACACGTGATCATCAGATCTGCAATTCCACCAGACTGGTGGAGGGTGAGACTCCTCCCTGGCCGGCTTTTTACCACACCACTCACTCGACCATCTCATCTCCCCCCTCCAACCCCAACCCCCTCCTGCCTGTCTCTTATACACATCTAGATGTGTATAAGAGACAGACAAAAGACCGAGCGCGACACGTGATCATCGGATCTGCAATTCCACCAGACTGGTGGAGGGTGAGACTCCTCCCGGGCCGGCTTTCTACCACACCACTCACTCGACCATCTCATCTCCCCCCTCC